CACGCTGTCACCCAGACTGGAGTGCAGTGGCATATTCCCAGCCACCACAACCTCGACCTGCTGGGCTCCAGCGATCCTTCCACCTCAGCCTTCCAAGTAGGTGGAACTACAGGCATGTGCTACCATACCTGACTAATTTTGATTTATTGTAGGGACAAGAGCTCACACCAAATTGCCCAGATGGGTCTTAAACCCGTGGACTCAGGCAATCCACTCACCTCGGCCTCCCAAAGTGCTGGGATTACAGGCTGAGCCACCGAGCCCGGCCTCCTTTCACTTTTAACTCAACAATTGTCTATACTCTTTTAATATTCTTCTTGCATGACAAGAAAATCTTTGTGGTCAATGGTCTGGAAAACTTTAATCAAACATCCAACAAGTTTACCACTAAGTACCACGCTTCAAGTGTGACTGCATGCACTGCCATTACAGGCAACCTGGGGAGCCAAACGGCAAGGCTGGAATGATGCACAGTTCGCTCGTGCATGCTTTTCTGACAAGAGAGTAGAGTTGACTTCTAATAAGTAAAAATGGACGACTTGAGATTCTACTGAGTCTCTTCTCTCGGTTCCAAACCCAGGCTACGGATTTAAATGGTGAAAGACAGAGGAAAGGAGAACAAGAACCCTGTCTCAGAAGAAGAGGTATTATTAGGATTAACAGATATTCAAAGACTTATACAAGGAAATTTTTTTTTTTAACTTTAACAGGTAAACAAAAATGAATGACCTATGCTAAAGACTTTAACACTTAACAGGACATACACAATACTGTAAGGATGAAGATTAAAATTAGTAAAATATAAATTTGCAAATAAGTCATTATCTACCACTAGCCAGCAGTCCTTTATTGTTGTAGTTATTTTAAAAACTAGAAATTCATTGGCAAAGTAACCTGTTTGTTTACTTTCAACTTCCCATATCATGGAAACCATTCTAAAACTGAAACTATAAGCACAAATTTCCAGAAAGTATTTCACAATGACTGATGAATTACATTACCTCACAGAAGAAATCACAATTCCTTAAAATATAAAGTCATTTAAAAACTACACTTGGGCTGGGCTCGGTGACTCAGCCTGTAATCCCAGCACTTTGGGAGGCCGAGGCAAGTGGATTGCCTGACCCCACAGGTTCAAAACCAGCCCAGGCAACTTGGCGAGACCTCGTCTCTACAATCAAACAAAAATTAGTTGGGTGTGGAAGCGCATGCCTGTAGTTTCAGCTACTTGGAAGGCCGAGGCGGAAGGATCGCCGAAGCCCAGCAGGTTGACGCTGGGGTGGCCGTGAGTAAGTCACTGCACTCCAGCCTAGGCAACAGAGTGACAGTCTGACACAAAAACATAAATAAATAAATGTGGCAGAAGTGTTTAAAAGAACAGCTTCAATTTTCTCCACATAAAACTTCTCTTACTTTGGGAAAGTAATAATCCCTAGCCTATCAGACTATCTCCTATGCCAACACACATCTATCCCCTAAAGATACCTTCAACTGCTGCCCACTTGCCCACTCAAGGGAGGGAGTGTTTCTAGAAAAAACTTCAAGGACAGAGAAAAGCCAAGAAGGAGGAAAAAAATGAGACTGATATCAGATTTCTAATCAATAGCAATGAGAGCTAAAAGACATGAAAGAATTTCTTCAAAGAACAAGGTTTTATAGCGTACTTCATAAATCTAACACAACTGATTGATGAACATACCAGAAAAAGCTGCCATTACACTATGACATGTCACTGATTGTAAAAATGCACTCCAATTTCAAAGATGTTAAAATGTAGGGAAAGTGCAACTTACTAGTGATGAAATGTGACACTTATACACAGATAAATTATTAATCAATATGAGGATAAAATGAAGGTATTTTCAAAAACTTCTTAAGTCTACTTTCCATGCCTCTTCCTGAAAAACTTACTTAACACATTCACAGTTGGCAAATTTTTCACTTTCCTAATACTGAGAGCGTGTGAAAGTAAGAAAAATCTGAAGCTGGTTGCGGCAAATATCTGTTGTTAAGCATAAGTGAAATGGTCTTTTCTAAATTGCCACCTTTTTCACAACACTGCTGAAAATTGCAAACATATCCAGTATTTGCCTCATACACCACTCTAACTAGCATTCTATACTTCGTATTTTTATTCAGATTATAAACCGAATATATATTATATATATACTATACATATATTTCTTCATTTACATTGCATCATTACATCACTATCTGTCTCACTATCACTAGTAAGTTCACTGGATTCACCTTCAACCTCAGAAATCTCATCAGTATGTAGTTCTTCACTTTCCATAATTATGCTGAATTATTTCTAACATTGAAGTATGAAAGCCCTGAAATATCAAAATACAAGTATACGACATTAATTCCAACAAAAATAATGATCAACTTGCAACTATGTAAATTTGCCAACTATGTAAATCAATAACATTGTGCAGTCGATATCAGATAATTATCTCAATTCACTTTCTCTCTCTTGCTTATTCATTTTCAAGCAAAATATAACAACACATACATAGGATAACATTGCAGTATTCAGAAACAGAATTTGCAAAGACGTAAATTCACGTCAGTGACAACAAGGAACAGAATCTGGAATGACGTAAATTCACATCAGCGATCAAGAGTGAGTTAAGTAGGTACTCTAGTAGATCAAGAAAGGCTATGTGGGTAACATGAACCACAAGAGCAATATATGAGTGCAAGAACTACAAGAAGCATACGTGAGATAGGAAAATATTTTTTTTTTAATGTTTTATTCACTGGGCACAGTGGCTCAAGCCTGTAATCCCAGCACTTTGGGAGGCTGAAGTGAGAGGATTGCCTGAGCCCACAGGTTTGAGACCAGCCTGGGCAACATGGTGAGACTTCATCTCTACAATAAATCAAAAAATTAGCCAGGCATGACAGCACATGCCTGTAGTTCTGGCTACTTGGAAGGCTGAGGCAGAAGCATCGCCGGAGCCCAGCAGGTTGACACTGGGGTGGCCGAGAGTGTGCCACTGCATGCCAGCCTGGGTGAAGGAGTGAGACTTCAATTTAAAAAAAAAAAGAAAATTTTATTCTAGGCAATAATTTTTTGCACTGATTTGGTGATAATTCCAGTCATTCCGCACTACAACATAAAAACTCGGTCAGTTTATTCTTTTGAAACACAATAGGCTCTTTAGAAATATAGAAAAGCATAAAGGCATAAAGCCAAAACCAAATATTATCCACTCTTTAATGCAGATAACTTTTAACACTGTGGTGTATATAGTATTTTGCAATCTTTGTATGTGATTATACTTTGTAAAAGTTATCATTCAATTCTATTTTAAAACTTGCCTAAACCATGCATGGTGGCTCACATCTGTAATCCCAGCACTATGGGAGGCGGAGGCAACAAGATTGCCTGAGCCCATGGGTTTGAGACCAGCCTGGGCAACATGGCAAGACCTCATCTCTACAATAAATCAAAAAATTAGCCAGGCATGGTGACACACACCTGTGGTTCCAGCTACTTGAAAGGCTAAGGCAGAAGAATAGCCTGAGCCCAGCAGGTCGAAGATCCAGTGGCCGTGAGTATGCCACTACACTTCAGCCTGGGTGACAGAGTGAGACTCCTATTCAAATATAAAAAAATAAAATAATGGCCGGGCTTGGTGGCTCAGCTTGTAATCCCAGCACTTTGGAAGTCCGAGGCGAGTGGATTGCCTGAGCTCGTGGGTTCGAGACCCCCCCGGGCAACTTGGTGAGATCTTGTCTCTACAATAAATCAAAAATCAGCTGGGTGTGGTAGTGCACACCTGTAGTTCTTGCTACTTAGAAGACTGAGGCGGAAGAATCGCTGGAGCCCAGCAGGTTGAGGCTGCTATGGCCAGGAGCATGCCATTGCACTCCAGTCTGGGCAATAGAGTGAGACTCCAACTCAAAAAATAAAAATAAAATAAAACAATAACTTGGCTTTGTAATTTAAAATTATATCATTACAAGGCATTGGTCAGTAATTTTTAAAAAAATCATGTTTCATTAAACTGGGATGCTTAAAGAGTGTCACATTTAAAAAATAAAGTTTTCAGGACATTTGGTGATTCTTTTCCATGTGTCCAGTCACGTTACCAGTTGTAAAATTAATAACATCTGGCCGGGCACAGTGGCTAACACCTGTAATCCTAGCACTTTGGGAGGCAGAGGTGAGAGGATTGCCTGAGCCCATAGGTTCAAGACCAGCATGGGTAACATAGCAAGACCTCATTTCTACAATAAATCAAAAAATTAGCTGGGTGTGGTAGCACACACCTGTATTTCCAGCTACTTGGAAGGCTGAAGCAGAAGGATCATCTGAGCCCAGCAGGTAGGGGTTACGGTGGCCATAAGCATGCCACTGCACTCCAGTCTGTGTGACAGAGTAAGACTCTTGACTCAAAATAATAATAATAATAATAATAACATTTACATAATCATACTACCATGCAAATGCCATTCACTGGTTTTCAATTTGTAGGTTCAATCTACAGATGAAGCATGGAAAAAATCCAAGTTAAGAAACAGAATGTAAATCATACAAATAACATTTCTAGACAAAATCCAACAAATAAGACTGACACAACCAAGTACTCTCTCTTTATACAATGGAATCTGTCGACAGATGCAGTTCCAAATTGATAAATCAAAAAACAGAGATATGAGTATATTTTAAACTGCTGGCAGTAATAATTTCTGAGAAGCAGTTTTCATTTTTATGTTCTATTCTATGCTTTTTCTTTTTTGCTGTGTGCATGCATAGAAAAAAAAAATCACCCATACTGTCCAAAGGTGAACCTGGAAAAGTTCCAGATGCTCTAAATAAGAGTTGTCTCATTTTGTCTTTCCAAAAAGAAGCAAACAAGTTTTCTAAAGATTGGGAGGTCTATTTCCATATACATGTGAAAAGATAAACTGATTTATATCTAATACCACAGAACCAGTTTTACATTCCCCCCCCAAAAAAAAAGTTAATTTGCTAGAAGTTGTACCTGATAGGTCTTTAGAACACATCGCCAACTTGTCCAGGTGACTGTGGATTTTCTCGATGGCTTTGAAGTTCTTATTTCTCTTCAGGACATCCATAGCAGACCGAGACTGTCGATCCAGCACAGTGGGATCTGCCCCAAAATGCAGGAGCATCTGCACATCCTCTGTTTGTCCTAGGGCAGGCCAAAACAAGAAGGAGGGGTTGTCATGGTTCCTTCCATAAAGAGTCATCCCCATGAGTGCTCTTCCTCCCAGTTCCCTGCCCAAGCAGTCCCTACAAGACCAGGGTCCCTCTGTTTATGGAATCTGAACTGCCAGTCTCAGGCAGTCCACCCAACTCCTTGAAGCAAGAAGTCTAGTGTGGAGTGGGAAGGACAATGGCTTTTAAGAGGTTCAGAAGTGCGCTCCTCTCTACCTTTTTCCCCTCTCCTTGGCAACAAGCAAGGAGAGGGGGAATCTGGTTACTAGGCAACAGTTACAGCTGTAAGGATAACAACAAGCTGTGACTTCAGATTTCTTTAGTCCCTAGAGAGGAAACAGAATATTCTTCCAGAAAAAAAAGTCTATCTGGGGACAGGAGAAGAAAGTGGTGACTGCTTTGGCATTAAGAATTTTTGTTGTTATTGTTACCACCCTCTCAGCCCCAACCCTCTGGCTGCCAGCTCCATTTGCTGCTCTGATATGTCTATCAGGCATCAAAGATGCATCAATTTTCAAAGTGAAACAGGGCGGGGCAGAACACAAAGACTTACGTGGGCACAGAGAGCTAAACAAATCAATGTCTGATCTCCCACTTCCATATGTAAACGCTCCTAAAATTCACCTCCTGAACATGTACTTTTATTGACAGTGTCATCCTGCTCAGGGTGTTATCCTTTCCCATTTCCTCAGTAACAACTGCCCTTCTCCCACTTTATGGAAGTTTTAAAAGATAAAGTCTATTTCCTACCCATCGAGAATCTCACTATAATAGGCAGAATTCTAAAACGAACCCCCAAATTCCTAACCCTCAGCATGTGCACACCTTTTCCCAATCAAATCTAGGTGCTGCTGTGATGAAACTTTGCAAATGTAATTAAGGTCCCATATCAGCTGACCTTGTAATAGGGAGATTGTGTAGCTGGCCCTGACCAAATCCCATGTGTCCTAAATGGTCAAAGCTCGACAGGTCAGAAATTCAAAGTATGAGAGGGATTTGATGCACAAGAAATTCTCCTCTGCTGGTTTTGAAGATACATGAGTCATGGCACAAGGAATGTGTGTGGCCTGTAGATGCTGAGTGCAGACTCTGATTTGTTACATAGCATAACAATAAAATATTCCTCAAAGGAGGTAAAATTTCCTGACTCCAGTGTATCAACAAAAGGGACAATTAAAAGCAACGAATGCCTGCAAAACCACTTTTAAAAGGCACTACATAATACACCTTCTGTTTACCTCCCCTTAAAATGTTATTTTTATGTTTAATAATTATAGAAATTTTATTATATTTGTTGTTTAGATAAGCTCTGTAATAATAATAATTTTAGTAATAATTCAAGCCAGAAAAAAGTAACCTTTCAAGCCAGAATGTTAGAGGATATCTGCTGAGGCATTTTGATTCTATTATATACAAGCAAAGAAATGCAGTAACAGTTTTATTTTTTAAAAAAATCAATTTAGCCGAGCGTGGTGGCTCACGCCTGTAATCTCAGCACTTTGGGAGGTGGAGGGCAAGAGGATTGTCTGAACCCATGAATTTGAGACCAGCCAGGGCAACATGGCGAGACCTCATCTCTACAATGATTAAAAAATTAGCCGGGCTCGGTGGCTCAGCCTGTAATCCCGCGCCTTGGGAGGCTGAGGTGAGTGGATTGCCTGAGCCCGCGGTTTCAAGACCCACCTGGGCAACTTGGCGAGACCTCATCTCTACAATAAATCAAAAAATTAGCCGGGTGTGGTAGCGCGTGCCTGTAGTTCCAGCTACTTGGAAGGCTGAGGCGCAAGGATCGCCGGAGCCCAGCAGGTCGAGGCTGCGGTGGCCGGGAGTGGCCTTTGCACTCCAGTCTAGGCGACAGAGTGAGACTCCAACTCAAAAAAATAAAATAAAATAAAAAATAAAAATAAATAAAAAATTAGCTGGGAGTGGTGGTTTGCTCCTGTAGTTTCAGCTACTTGTAAGGCTGAAGCAGAAGGATCACCTGAACCCAGCAGGTCACCTGAGATCAGCAGGTTGAGGCTGCAGTGGCCATGAGCATGCCACTGCACTCCAGCCTGGGCGACTCCAACTGATAAATAAATAAACAAACTTATACAAAATTCTAAAAATCACCTGTTCTTACAATTATTAACACTCACAGATACAAAATTCCAGATGTCAACTTAAAAAGAGGTACGCAAGGCTTTCAAAATTCTTTGAGGGGATTAGGAAGCAAAATTTGAAAACCATTGACAAAACTAGACTTTTTTTTTTTTTTGCATGACCAGTATCTATTCCCCCTTTTTTTCCTGAGAACCCAGTTTTCCTTCGAGAAAGCAACTCTTCTCCCTCAACCTACCCGATTTGACGGAGTGGACACCAGACAGACAAACACATCTGTCACCACCACATTGTCTACCACTGGCCAACCTCCAGTTCCAGGGGCTTACACTTCACCAGGATCCGGCCAATCAGATCATTCCTCACCAAGATCTGGCCAATCAGACCATCCCATCCTTCTGGCACTGTCCCACCTCCTGCTCCTTGGGCAAAAGGCACACCAGAACTTGACCAATTAGATCATTCTAACCTTCTGGCTCTGTCCCATTCCCCACTCCAAGGACTAGCACATAACCAGGACCAATCAAATTATTCCATTCTTCTGGCTCTAGTGATGGGTTAATAGAAGGCATGTGACCAAAGTCAGATGACTGACATACACTGGTAGGACTTATACTGAACTATTGGGAGGAGAAATTGTCTTTCACTGAGATTGACAAATTGGCAGAAAATAAGCCTGAAGGTTCCAGTGACTTCAACTCAAAAAGAGCCTAAGAGTGAACCTAACAGAAGAAACCAGAGCTAAGAGGTAAGACAGATTCTTGAAGACACCTTTAGACTAGAAAAGTTTTTTAAATATGACAAATTCTACTGGTGAAGCTGTGGGGAGAGACGCACACTCCTACAATGTTGGTGGGTAATACAAATGGGAGTAATACACTCAAATCCAAATACAAATGGGTGGTAATACACTCCTGGGAGAAAATTAGTAATATCTAATAAAACTATATATGTGTTTATACATGTGACTTGATATGGAATGATTTTCAGTTATAATAAAAAAAGCAAAGTGCAAAAGAGTAGCGATACAATGTAACTCTTCATGTAAAAAGAAAGAGATGAGCCGGGTTCGGTGGCTCAGCCTGCAATCCCGCACACTTGGGAGGCTGAGGTGAGTGGATTGCCTGAGCCCACGGGTTTGAGACCCACCTGGGCAACCTGGCGAGACCTCATCTCTACAATAAATCAAAAAATTAGCCGGGTGCGGTAGCATGCGCCTGTAGTTGCAGCTACTTGGAAGGCTGAGGCGGGAAGATCGCTGGAGCCCAGCAGGTCGAGGCTGCGGTGGCTAGGAGCGTGCCACTGCACTCCAGTCTGGGCGACAGAGTGAGACTCCAACTCAAAAAAAAAGGGGGATGTAAGAAACTACACATGCATGTCCTCATTGCTGCAAAAGAAATCCAGGAAGAATGAGGCTGAAATTAAATGAACTGATTATCTACAGGGATGGATGGGAAGGAGCCAGAAAGAAGGAGGAAATGGGAATGGGGAGCAAGGATAAGAAGGAATGGACACTTCTCTAAGTAGACTTTTGTAAAGTTTTGACTCCTAGAACCACGGTAGTGTTTCACGTGCCCTTCAAGTGCCCAAAATATAAACAAACAAAACCAATAAAGATGTGCAGAAAATCCTAAAATGAAATGCAAACACTTAAAAAAAAAAAATGAGCCTAAGTGTCCTACAAACTACTAACATAACCACAGTAAAGGGGGTGAGAAAGAAAAGAATTAACAATATCTTAACTGAATGCTCTAAAGTTGACAACAAAAAACACTGAATATAAATGAACATAAAATTAACATAAATCTAGTCAATGAATGTGTGTTTCTTACAGAGGTATTATGGGCTAGTCTGAAATACATGGAACTACACACATAAGTAAGTAATTGTAAATAGGAGATGCTACACATTAAAGATCTAAATAACTGTGGTGTTCAGACTAGAATCAGAGGTTATCTGTATAAACTCATGGTTTTTAATATAGATGTGTGCAGACAGATACAGTACTATGGGTGTGCTATCATCAGTTAATATATATCTATGTATGCTCTAGCTCTATCCGCTGAGAAGTCCTAGAAACAATGGCACTCTAGTTAGCAATGTCACACCTAGTACCAGACCTTGTTTCCAAAAACTGAAACCAGAACTCCTTATAGAAGTGGTTGATTAAAAAGCAAGTCATAGGCCCCACTCAAGGAACATCAGGGGTTGAATCAAGAGGCCACCTCAGGTTCTGTCTTTTACAGAAATGATCTGATTCACGAAAAGTAGCATGAACTTTGTAATCAGACAAACATACACACACTGTCATTATCTATATGAAGTAGGGCAAATTACTCAACCTGTTTAACTCTCAATTTTCTGATCTGTGAAAGAGAAGTGATAGCAACTATCTTTGTATTGTTATCAGTATGAATAAAATACTATGAATATGTAGGAATTCATAAAAAAAAATAAAGAAGAAGAAGTGGTTGATTTTACGGCTGGAACAGGAAATACTCAAGATGAGCTGGAGCATCTAGTGGTGCCTGAAAGGAAGCCAATCCTCAAAAAAGGATGGGGGTTTAGCGGAGGAACACAGGAGCCAATCTGAAGCAGTGCCTTACTGGCTAAAGCTAGAACAATTTGAGCAACAAAATAAATAATGGTAGTATTGGATTTTATCCCATAAAATAAAATAAATATCCATGTATCCCTACTGAAATAATTAATTGCATATGGAGAAAAGAAACAGCTCTTCATTACCAAAGAATTCCAAGCAATAAATGTAGAAAGAAGAAAAATTTTAAACCAGCATTAAAGCACGCAGTAATAACTGTAGCTGTCGAGATCCACCAAATGAACACCGAAATTAGTGGGCAGAAGGTTGAAGAG